GGCGGAACTAGATTCGATAAGGGGGCGGGGCCATCCAGATGGTGGATGGAAAAGTCTATTTCTGATGTAGCCATCTTGAGCGTGGCGGAAGTAACAGTTTTTCAGTTTTTCCACAGCAAAAAAAGAAAAGAGGTATTCAAGGTGTTGGAGAATAAATTATTCCTAAAAGGCAAACAGGCGGTTCTGAAGAAGAAAACAATTGTAATGTAAAAATCTTTTAATGCCTTTTGTCTCGAAGCATAGCACCATTACCATAATGCCTCTCTTCGTCTCAACTGCCCAAACGGCAGCTTAGGTCCATTTGAATTCCCTAGACGACAGTACCTTTATCTGAGGCGTAGTGCTTCCGTCACCCCAAGTTTCATGGACAAAATTCTGGTTCCACCTCACAAACCGCTCTGAAATCCACCATCCATTTCTTCAATCCATGCTCTTCTTCATGGTTAAATACAAATGGCTTCCCTGCTGCCCTGCAAGCCAGTTCTTCCCTCTCAAATTTCTGCCACACACCACAGCTGTACCACATTAAACCAAATATTATTACATCATGGCCTCCTCTTTTAAATACTGCAACTACCTACAGAATAGAGAGTCTAAACTTCCCAAAGTGGTCCTCGCTGTGACCTCATCCCTGTCTACTCTTTATCTCACCTCTCACCACTACATTTTCCCACACATTCCACTCAGGCGGACCACTGAAGAGCTGCCCAGTAACTTCATTTACACATTACAGATACAGATCCCTGCTTACAAACTCCCAGCCCCTACTCCTTGTTTCGTCTTCTGGATTCTTATAATATTTACACCTGCCTGCCTGGTTTGCAGCTTTTTGTACAGCATACCAGGTCTTTCTTCTTCTTCTTTTAAAGCCTATAACAAAGGCTCAACCAGGAGCTTGATCAATGTTGGTACAATAGCCAGGTGTGGTAGCTCATGCTTATAATCCTAACCCTTTGGGAGGCTGAGGCAGGTGGATCCCTTGAGCTCCGGAGTTTGAAACCAGCCTGAGCAGCATGGCAAGACCCTGTCTCTACCAAAAAAAAAAAAAAAGGCC